GTGTTAGCCAGGATGGTCTCGATCTCCTGACCTCGTGATCCGCCCGTCTCGGCCTCCCAAAGTGCTGGGATTACAGGCTTGAGCCACCGCGCCCGGCCGTAAACTACATTTTTTTAAATGCGACAATGGATAAAAATGGTTACAACTAGATAAGCTGCCTCTAAATTGCCTGAACACCTAAGGTTTATTTGCTAGTTGACATCTGATCTATTTCTGACACTGAAAATTTCATTGCTTTAGGATGCTAAAAGGGAAAAAGAGCGTTTGCTAGGAATCCTGTAGTTGCTGAGGGGTTACCCTGATAGGGAATTTTAAGCAATTACAGAAAATCTCACTAAACTTTAAAAAAAATCTTTAACCAGATTAAACTTATACGATTTTGTTATAATTTGTGTTTCTCCAGCTTCCAGTTGTGGACAAGATAAGAACCATTGCCCAGGCTGTCTATGGAGCCAAAGATATTGAACTCTCTCCTGAGGCACAAGCCAAAATAGATCGTTACACTAAACAGGTAAAAGTTGTACTTTTAGGGGAAAAGAAAAAATCCACCGTAGGCTCTCAGAATACTCAACTTGACTTGAGTATTTGTACTTGTCTCACTAGCTACCCTTTGCTTAATCTATTTTATGGTTAACAAAGATGAAAGTACTATCCTCGGGATATTACTTTCAGATATATTAGACTATATTTAGAACTTTATGGTGAGAAATACATCCTCTGATCCACGCATCATTTACTTCTGTGACTATAAATGTGTCTGATATGGGTGGTATCCCTGTTTGTAGGTGATGTGTGATCTTTCATCCCTCCCACTCAGCCCAGAACGTTGAAACTATCCTTTGGAGTATAGCTGCGGAGTCAGATTTAGATGAATTGCAATGCTTCCTCTTCCTTGCAGGCCTCTTACAACCTTAAAAATGCTAGCATGGTGCTGGGGTAGGCAGATAGGAGTGCACCCTATAAAGATGGGAATATTTGGTGTTCTTCTTACATAAGCGGTTCACTGGCTTTTTACTGAGCTTGTCCACTGAGGTTGAAGGCTCCATCACCTTCTGCCTCTAGCCACTGACAAAGGCAAGTAGGCAAGCAGCTGGGAAGGTGGCTGTGATCTGACAGCATGCGTCACCATCTAGTCCAGTGACAGTCATGATCAATCAACTCCATTCCAGGAAGCTCAGCCACCTTCACCAAAAGGACCATATGCCTCGAGTGTCCCTCCTACTTTGGCATAACCAGATAGATAGAAGTCAGAACACTTTAAGAGCCTGCTGGCTAAAGAGCTTCGTGATAGGTAGTGTGTTGACCTTTTCTTTAAAACAAATCTCCAACTCCTTATTCTTTTTTGTAAACCCATTTGAAATTTTGTTAAATGCTACCATTGCCAGCCAGGGTATTTATTCTCCTAGGTTTGGTAAAATAGTCAGCAACTCAGAAAGTTCTCACTTCTGAGAATTTTCCCTGTATATTCTTGGCTTATCCTTTACAAAAAGGATTTCCAAGCACTGCTCTGTGCACAGGCATTGTGGTGAAATTTTCATTCATGTGCAATAAGCCAAGTAAAGTAAGGCCATTCTCATGAGGTTGGTTTGGTTTTTTTCTTCCCATGAGTTTTTAATACTGATATTTAAGGCTATCATTTATTCTCATATTAAGTCTTTTCTCCTTTCAGTGTTACAATGTCATTTCTTTTATGAAGTAATCTGGTGACAGTTTATGGCGTATTGGTTGGTTTTTGTTTGTGTCTTTTTAATATGCCTACTGACAAAATTTTTACATTAGCAAACCTCTATTAGTTCATAGAAATTACTTCAATATTTAATCATGTCTGAAATTCAAAATTCTGGCACCATTTCTGAAAGGCAGTTGTGATTGTCGCCCAGCAAAATTCTTATCAGTATAGAAGAGTGGAGATTTCAAAAAGAAAATGGCCCCAAGCCCACGTCCTCCCTGAGTTGATAAGACTCTAAGATCTTCCAAATAGTTTTAGGCTAAGTCTTATGAAAATTTCACTAAAGATTTCTTTCCCTTTATCTCTGTCTATCAAGGAAACATTGCTTAAAAGTTGTGTCAACCGGGCACAGTGCTCACACCTGTAATCCCAGCACTTTGGGAGGCCAGTGCAGGAGGGTCAGTTGAAGCCAGGAGTTTGAGACCACTCTGGGCAACATAGCAAAATCTCCATCTCTATTTTTATTTTTTTTAAAAGTTAGTGTCAAGTATGTGGTTGCAATGAATTAGCAAAGCCTCTAAAGGAACACTATGTGCCATTTAATCAGAACCAGGCTTCGAGGACACTGTCCTTTTTGTGAGACACCACATGTGACTTCCTGCTCTTTCACCTTTGGGACTCTGGGTCAGACATAGACTTTGGTCCTTAAAAACAAGAAGCTTAAATAGTGACCTCATCTTAGTTCTTATAATGTAATCGCAGATCAAATAGCCATGATTCATAAACCAACACAAAGGGGCCCTTTGCTTCCTGGCCGACTCCAAAATGAGTGAACAACATGACTAACAGCCTCGTTGAGGAGCCTTTCTCCAGACTACCTTGCTGGGTCCCGGATATTAATAGTCCTGGAAAGTGGTTTCTACAGCCGCTGCTTTGCCTGAAAATAGCTGTGCTTTCCCCAAACATGCACATAACACTGCCTTCTCTTAAAGAGAACCTCTGAAATAAACAACAGTCACCCTTGTCCTGCTAAACAGTGATCCCATGGGGATGAGTTTTTATCCTCACCTTCTTGCTTCTTCAATGAACAAGTAGTAACCGGCAGCTCCTGCATGTGCCTCAATCTGAGCCGGCATACCATTGCTGGCCGAGACTGTATAAAGTGCAAACAGAAAAACACAGGAAACTAACATCTGTATCAGTGAACACATTTTCTTTCCTTTCTTACAGGGTTTTGGAAATTTGCCCATCTGCATGGCAAAGACCCACCTTTCTCTGTCTCACGAACCTGACAAAAAAGGTGTGCCGAGGGACTTCATCTTACCTATCAGTGATGTCCGGGCCAGCATAGGCGCTGGGTTCATTTACCCTTTGGTCGGAACGGTGAGTGAGTCACATTTTCCAAAAACCCGCCCCATTCTGCACTGCCGTGGTGCCTCAAATCATTATGCTCCACCCACTCTTTAAAAATCATGGATGAGGGAGAATTAGGGAGTAATTAGTAGTACAGTATTCGCTATTTTTCCAAACACTCTGTCTCACCTACCTTTGCCATTGTGGTTTGGGTTTTTCTTTTTTTAGATCATGTGCTCAGGATCTTTAGAGTCATAATACTAATTTCCTTCCTAAGGCAAGTATGAACATAACTTGGGAGAATTCAGCCTGTTATTTAAACGGTAGAATGGCTTAGGACAGTGGTTGTCAACCTTTATCACACATAGCACCCAAAATGATGTACCACAGTGGCGTTTACTGTTCACACCAGACAGGATCTGCCCAGTCACCCCAAGGGCTGAGGAAAGCAGTCCTCTCGCTCTCCCACTTCCCCAGCACATCAGGTGGGAAGCTCTGGCTTAGGAAATCAGTGAATCACATGAGTTCTCATTTTTGATGTTGTTGTGATGGGATTTTGTTGCTACTGGATGATTATGCTGTTATTTTGTGTTATCTATGGGGGTAAAGGAGATGAGCAGAGAAGTAAAAGCTTATCGAAGTGCTTAAAATCCATGAAGATGGGCTTCATTTGGTACAGCTACACAGTGATAACCTTCCGTTTCTACCATCTGTGGCCTAAATTCGACTTCTTGTCTTTGGGAGTGTTCCTGAATTTGATTTAGAACAAAAAAGAATTCTTACAACCTGGCAGATCCCATGGCAAGCAAAGAAAAAAATATTCTAACCCATCATTATCATCATCATTATTGCAAAGTGATCTGAGCTTAAACAGCGTACATTATAATAATTTTTTATAATAAACCATGTGGCTTTATTGTGCAAACAAGCAATAGGTCGACAAAAAGTGCAGATTCTTACCTTGATATTTACATACTTCATCTAATACTGGACACAATGTTTTTTCAATCAGCATTTTTTGAATTCTTCCTGCATGTGAGGCACAGAGATTTTAAGATGAGCAGGTGTGAGATGCATAGGTTTAAACAGCACAGAGGTGCCTGGAGAGCACTGCGTTGGCATTCTGAATGCCCTCAGAGCGCATGGGGTAACAGCTCATTATGCCTGGGGCAGAATTTACCCGGGATGTGGAAGGAGAAGGGATTCTTCAAAAAGGGCTCAATCTCTGAACTGGCAAAACAGTGAGTTTTGACTCAAAGGCACCAGAGTACTAATACGTGACATCCTCTCTTGGGGTGGTCCAGTGTGGCTGGAGTTGGATGAGGTGGGAAGGCTGCGGATGGGAATGGGAATGGAAATAGGATTGGGATAGCAGGACAGAGCCACATGGCCAAAGATCTTGAAGACCATCTCATGGAACTTGAATCTGATCTCGTACACACTGGGGAGCCACAGTAGGATGGGGTTTTTTTGGTTTATTTCTTGTTTTTTTGTTTTTTTGTTTTTAAATGAGGAGGAGAAGAATGTGGTCTGATGTGTATTTTAGAAAAATAGCTCTGGCAGCAATGTGGAGAACGTTTAGTGAAAAGAGAACCAGGCCCAGAGAGGTGGGTTAATTCAGCTGGGGCCAGAGGCAATCAAGGTCCGTACTTCGGCCACAGAAGTAGATACGGAGAGTGGGGGTGAATTGCAGACGTACTCTAAAAGTATCCTCCTACCGTGGGGACCGGAGGAAGGGACTGTTCTAGCTTGGTGACTCTGGCTGGTGATGCCATCGGTCATGGAAAGGACACAGGAGGAGGCAGATTTGCAGGGCCAGAAATGAGCCTGGCTTGGGTAGAGAGAGCTTGGAGGGTTAACGGGATCTAAGGAACAGTCTGTGCCTCCACTGGAAATACAGACACAGCGCTCCAAAGAAAGGGGCAGGAACGTCACCCTGGTGGGTTTAAGGATATCGGTGAAGGCAGTCGTTAAACAGGAGAGACACAGGGATAGCTAGAAATCAGTGAGAAAAGAGCAAAGGAAGACATCCCCGAAACACCCATGTTAACGCAGTCGACTCCTAGCAGCGGTGCCTTCCAGGAGGTGGGAAGGAAGGAGCAGCAACATGGCAGAGAACGTCCAGAAAAATCCCACAGACACCGCTCGCAGCAGTGTTGACACAGGCAGAAGGGTCCAGATGAAATGGGTTCTGAATGACATTTTCAGGTCTACAGTTCAGATCAGTGGTTGCCAGGAGTTGGGGGAGGGGAAGTGTTTGACTGCGGAGGGGCAGGAGGGAACTTTTTGGGATAATGGAAATACCCTATGTTTTGATGTGGTAGTGAGTCCATGGCTATATACATTCTTCCAGACTCACAGACCTATACACGTGTGATGCCCAGGCTGGACTCAAACTCCTGGGCTCAAGCAATCTTCCCACCTCAGCTTCCCAAGTAGCTGTGACGACAGGCTCATGCCACTGTGCCGGGCCTGTGTATAATTTAATTATACCTCAGTTAACAAAAATCAGCACTGAAGAGCTTGCTTTATATTCCTTAGAATGGCCTCAGTTGGCCGGGCGCGGTGGCGCATGCCTATAATCCCAGGACTTTGGGAGGCTGAGGCAGGCGAATCACGAGGTCAGGAGTTCGAGACCTGCTTGGCCAAAATGGTGAAACCCCATCTCTACTACAAATACAAAAATTAGCTGGGTGTGGTGGCTGGCGCCTATAATCCCAGCTACTTGGGAGGCTGAGGCAGGAAAATCACTTGAACCCAGGAGGCAGAGGTTGTAGTAAGCCGAGATCACGCCACTGAATTTCAGCCTGGGCAACAGAGCAACACTCCCATCTCTCAATAAATACATATATACATACATACATACATACATACATACATACATACATACATATATAGAATGGCCTCAGTGATGGCCACTTTACTCCTGAGCTTTAGTTGGTGAAGGCCTTGGCTTAGGGATAAGAGGGGGGCTGGACAGTGCAGGCCCAGAGAGACCGTACCATCAGGGGAGGTGAGGGGTGACGGAGGTGCCCAAACAGAACATGAAATGGTAGAGTAGCTGAGAAGGTTAGCTGCGATCACGATCTGCCCTGTCCTACCCTCTGCAGACTCTAAACCCCGCAGTAGTTCATCTAACAAATTCACTCAGCCAGTGCTGCATAAGGCACTCAGCTTGGGGCTACAGGGAGCCCCAACCTAAAGAAGCTTTCTCTGCTTCAGGCAATTTACAGCTGGTAGACGCAGATAGAAGTGAATTAGCAAAGAAAATAGTTTGATATAAAAATTGTGCATTTAACTGAAACCTGAATTCACTTCTGAGCATTTAATAGCCATTAAATAAAAACCAGGGCCTGCATAGTGGCTCACATTTATAATCTGAGCACTTTTGGAAGCCAAGGTAGAAGGATTGCCTCAGGCCAGGAGTTCGAGACCAGCCTGGGCAACATAGGCAGACTTCGTCTCTACTTAAACAAAAATTAGCCAGGAGTCATGGCAGGCATCTGGAGCGCCAGCTACTCAGGAGGCTGAAGTGGGAGGATTACTTGAGCCCAGGAGTTTGAGGCAATAGTGAGCTATGATGATACCATTGCACTCCTGCCTGGGAGATAGAGTGAGACTTCCGTCTCTTAAAAAATGAAATAAAATAATAAAAACCACAATATAATTTAAAATCTTTGGAGTCACTAAACAAACATACAATATGAATCTCCTCCCACTTCAGCTAACACCACCATATCCAACATCAGGTAACGACCGAAGTCGTTCTGGAAAATCAGAATCTATTGCCATGGCTCATGCCCGGACACCAGGCTGTCCGCTCCTGACGTCACTCTTTGACTTATGACTTGTTAGAAAATGAATGTGTGGAATGGCCCTGGAGGAGCTGCTGCAGCTCCCTGGGTTTCCTGAAGTGAGCCCTCTGTGTCATTATCTGGTCTTCTCAGCCCTCAGCCAAGTTCCTCCTGTGGCCACACGCGGGGTCGCAGTGAGCGTCAGTGCATAGTGATGAAATCTGGAACAATCGGGTGTGGGGCATGAGGAAGGGAGTGGTGCCTGACTACAGAAGTTCCTGGAGGTCAGGAAACTGTCACTGGAGGCGGTGGCCCTAGAGGGCTGCTTTCTATGACAGAGCAGGAAGCTGCATGTGTACTGGGACACACGCACCAGAGGGGCCAGGATCTCCTAATAAGGGCTGGTATTTACTTTTACTTGACCCCATTCTGGGCCTTGCCACAGTCTGCTGAAATGCCTTGAACATTTATCACCCGTGTGGGAGACAGGATAGTAATTTCCTGCTGAGATGACTGAGGAGATGGAGAATGGGGACACCAGGGGGACTGGCTCCTGCAGGTGGGAAAATTCTAGCAAAATGAATCACTCATCTGCTTAGTCACCCAGTGTGGGCTTACTAGAGTGCTACTGAAATACATATTCATCTATCCACTCCAGAAAAATAGTCCAAATTGAGACCTCAAGATCAGAAAGGCTCCCATTCTCCTTCAGGGTTCATTCATTTACTCAGTGAATTATTAAATGCCTACGGCACACAGGGCCATCAGCCCCGTGGCTATGAGAAAGATTCATCCCTTCCCTCACAGGCCTTATGATAGACTCCAGTAAATAAAACCATACAGGCACAGAATGTGGCGGGCTTTATAACAAAGGCAGAAAGCCCCTCTTGTTATGTCCTTAAGGGAGGCAGAGAAGCTCCCCTCTGGCTCTAGTTGGAGAATCCCAACCCAAGCAAGTCCGTCCTTGAACAATAAACATCTCCAGCATTGCTGGCTTCGGAAGACCCCGTGGTGAGATGCTGGAGCTTTTTTCCCCTCCAGATTTTGCTTTCTAAATATTTACTTTTACTTTCCATGTTCCCTTGTGGGCCAGATTTTTTTTCCTACCATTGAATTGTTTCATCATGTTCTATTTAATTATTGCTTTAATTGACATTGGTGACCACAAATAGTAATAAATACTATTAACTGGTGTAACAGCTTCACTAGTCTATTTCA